TTTCATTAATGGCGGCACAATCCCACGATCCACTTCATAGCGTACCTTACCTAGAACCCAGCAGGCTGACCTTGATTTATGTCCTTTCTCTACACTCCTCCTTTTCCTCATATCAGGGTTTATTTGTCCTCATATTCTCTGAATTGGCAATGTACACTGAAAATAATTTGATTTAGAAAAAAAAATTACTTTGAAATAGCTTGTAAATTTAATTAATCACAAAGAAACAGCAAGTAAACTTGCGAGATATAAATGCAAAATTGTGAAATGTTTCGCGAAAAAAAAGTCTGAATTGCCAGGAAAAAAGAATTGTGAGATAAAAGCTGAAATTAACTTTTTTTACTGTTCTGTTACCCCAGGGGGGTTTGATTTGCTACTCTCCCCGCTATGTCCAGGCATGGCTGCATGGACGGGCGCGTGGAGTTCGCCCAGAACAGAACCATACCGCCAACATTAACTGTATGCTTTTATTGTAATAAATATTCTTTGACGAAAGTGGTCCTGACTGAACCTAGTTAAGGCCACTTAATATAAAGTGGGGCCTTACATTTTTGTAATTTTGTAATTTGTAAATAAATCTTTATATAAATATAAATTAAGTGTCACTTGGTTTGATATTCTAACTCAGTGTCAATTATTCAGTTTTAAAATATGCCTAAAGTGTCCAAGTACTTTTTGTATTCACTGTACGTCATTTCTCCTACATATTTTATGTAGGCGTAACAACTTAAAAATGGCGTACCCCATGCGTAACTCTTCCCAAAGTTTCTTTTAAAAGAGGTAAAGTTTCAATTTGTCAAGTGGCAGATTTAAATAAGATTCAGGCAGTGCTCATTTATTCTTGCAGGTTCCCACAGAGTCATTTCCTCAGTGCATGCCTTCAGTAACAATGATAACCATCAGCCCACAGAACATGAACAAACATGCAGCACAAAGACGCTCCCTGGAGCAGGTCCATTACCCGCCATCATCAGTAGTGGGGTGTGGGGGTTTATAGAGAGACCACAGAGAGGCATGCAGATCTAGACGCAGAAATCACATCCTTCTCCCTGCTGAAGCGGAGGTCTTTTTATATTACTCAAATGGGCAATCAGCCCCCTCTCTCAGAAAAGTCAAATGCTTCTTTCATGGGTCTGATGAAGTATAATGACCAGAGGACAGTTTCCACTCTTGGGGCCTAAAATGGGATTTGAGTCAGTCCTCGGGGGTGCGTAAGGCCTGTAAATTACCTTAGTGTGCGTTTGGGCACCTGTAAAAGGCGTTAAAGGGGTCATGTGATGCGATTTCAATTTTTCCTTTCTCTTTGGAGTGTTACAAGCTCTTGGTGCATAAAGAAGATCTGTAAATTTGCAAAGACTAAAGTCTCAAATCCAAAGAGATATTCTTTATAAAAGTTAAGACTTGTCCACGCCCTCATAAAACGCCTCATTTAAACACGCATGTCTACGTCACTGTGTGGGAAGATATGCATAATGCCGCCCAAATGTTCACACAAAGAAAGAAGGAGTAACTTTTATTCTCGCTGTAGTATTGTTGATGCTGCAGCCATGTCCTGAAGACGCTGTGTGCTTCGAACACATTGCATTACACCAAATACACCAAATAATGTTCTTTTTAGCAACAGCAATGACCCCTTTAATGCAAAAAACATAGGCCGAAACATACCTCCAGCCTGGATACGAGCACTGGATGTCAAATTAGCATCTCTAAAAGGCCCTTTTTTAAGAACCTCCGCTACTCTCCTGTGGTCTTAAGAATCACTGAAACTAGTTCTGAACTTTTTCATAATTTGGCTCCTTAAATGTAATGAGAATTGAGATGAAGGATGTTGGTAAGGTTACAGAAAGTAATTTCTGAGAAGTAATGGATGGATGAATAGATAGATATATAGATAGAGAGATAGATCCATTACTTTAGATGAGTTGACAGGGTCTTTAAATAACACCATCCACAACTGTGAACTCAGATCTGCACAGATGGCTTCTTACTCAGCTGTACATATGTGAAGTGCACACACACACACACACACACTGTTAATCACTGTGATAGTGTATCTCATTTTCCTCTCTCTCCAATGATCTGCCTCCTACCTTCTCTACCAGTTTTTACTGTATTTATTTGCATTTATATTTATCTTTATTCACTTGACAGATTCACCAAAGTAGCTTAAAAATGCACGTACTGTACGTTGATGTAAGAGGGAGAATATGTTATACCTTATATGCACTGATAAAGCTGAAATAGCCAACATCTAAGAACTTACGGTTATGATAATCTGTTAACTTACTGTATATACATTAGAGATAAAGTAGAGTATTTTAAGTTTTATTATGAATATACTGTATGTACATACTGCACTGTATGTATTAAGAATTTTTGCATTTTCAGTACTGATCTCGGAGTTGCTGAGTTGGATGTGGTACTGTTTCCCAGCACACCATGAAAAAAAAAACATGCAAATGATCATTGTTGACTGTTTGTACTATTCATTGCATTATTTGCACTGTTGTTTTCATATTTATTTTGAGTTGTGTGGTATGTGGTGATTAAATTAAAGTGCAGCTGTTCTTCAAGTGTGATTTGAAATGTCACTGCACTGTTCTGCATACACACTACTGTTTAAAAGTTTAGGGTCAGTAAAAATAAAAAAATATATAAATAAAAAATAAAATAAGTAAATGTAAAATGTATCTACTATTTAGAAAAAAATGTTGCCTCAGAAGATTTATATTTGAATTAATTTATATTAATTAAAGAATCATGAAAAATTGGTTTCCACAAAAAAATATTTTCAGCTAATAAATGAATAAATGAAGACTGGAGTAATGGCTACTGAAAATTCAGATTTGCCATCACAGGAATAAATTACATCTTAAATTTAAATAAAATTGAAATCAACTATTTTACATTTTATTATTATTATTATTATTATTATTATTATTATTATTATTATTATTATTATTATTATTATTATTATTATTATTATTAATTTTTTTATCAAATAAATGCAGCCTTGATAAGCATGAGAGACTGTCATAAACAAACCAAAAACTTTTGTAATGATATTTTATGTGCAATGTATGTTAGGTTGAAAATCTTATTAACATCTATTTTACAGTATAATACCATTCTGTAAAATACCATTCTGAAAACATAAAAATATTTAAAAACATCGATCAAACTACATCACAGGTGTGTGCACAAGTTGCAGGTTATTTCTTCAACAATTTACTGGTCTAGAGGATTGTACAGATTCTATTTCTGGCCTACACAATTTAGTTTATGCATTTGTCTTTCCATACAGCTCATAAAAACATGACCTGTAAATGGTATATTTTCAGGTGGTGCCAAAATGTTGCTGGTAAACAGTAGTTCATTATAAAAACTGTGATGTTTTAGACAACTACGGAACAAGGACAAATTGTTGTACTGCCTTAGAGACCACTGAATTTGATAGCTGTAGGAAGCAGTTTAGTCATCTCAGCAAATGCATGACATGTAGTAATTGAGTTCTACTATTTGAGGACCAATGTCAGGAGAAGAGTGAGCACAGGAAATAGAAAGCCAAAGGTCAAGCATATATGGAGCGCGGTGGCTCTTACAGCAGCCACTGGCAGCACAGGTGAAGTGAAGTGTGTGCAATGAAGAAAGAGACATGATCCCCAATCAGAGGAGCTTATGAGAGACATAAAGTCCAGATTCTCAGAGGTAATGAAAAGTGTGTAATTGAGTAAATAACCCACAAGGAGTTCTCATGTTGTAAAAAAGCACTGCATCCACCAGCCAATGTGAAAATCTGAGCATCTGAAGTGTTCAAGAAGAGAGAATGAAATACACACACACACACACACACACACACACAAACACACGTATGTTGTATTTTAGAGAACTTTAAAATAACATATTGAAGTTATGAGACATTTTGATAATATTACGAGGTCTTGAAAATGGTGGGTTTGTTTTTGCTGCCTCTCTCTGTGAAAGACCACCTCCTTTGGGAGTTGTGATTTCGACAGGCTTTGAGTGTGTTCTTGGGATCAGTCCCCACTCCGGGAATGATTCCCAGTTTGAGAAAGAGATGCCCATTCTTTTGGTTTACCATTGTACTTTTCCATCTGGCAGTACTAGAAATTTGTAAACATAAGAAGGGAACAAGATGGTCTGTTTCTTCTCAGTCTGCAGATCTCCATCAGACATTAGGCTTGTACGTGTCTCCATGTCTTCACTGCCTCTAAGATGGACAACAGAAAGAAATTATGACTAAAAACTTCTTCAAAAGTATAATATAATTATACAGTATTTTAAAACTTTTTAAAAAGATTTCAGTTGTATTTTTTCCTTTTTTTTTTAAATAATTAATTTCACCAAGTAGGAATTCACATGATGAATGTGTGTATCTGTGTGATATATTTGCATGTTTTTATTTAGATAATAAGATAAAAGTTTATTTCAGCAACATAATACATATCTCTCTCATTTGTGTATACAGTGGCCCCAAAATTAAACAAATATATAATTTAATAAAAAAAATGAGTTGTTATCTATGTATTTAATTTTGTGGGTGGGATAAAATGCTTTGAAAATGTGCTTTTGATATGCTACTTTGATTATTTGATATTGAAAGGAATTGCATTCATAGATTTTAGGACTTAAGTCTCCTTTTTGAGCCCCTGTGACATGAACAAAATATTTGCCATGTCGCAGTCTAATCTGCATACTCACAAATGTTACACATACACACATATAAACCTTAGAATAACTTTTTTTGTGTGGTTTGCCATCAAAAATGTTTTGTTTCATACAAACCTGTTTTATCTTTTTTTGGGCTTTTATGAAAAGCAATAATAAACACTGTACAGTGGGAAAACCTGTTTGTGAGGTGTTGGAAGAAATGTTAGCAGTGCAGTACATAAAGCTGATTTCATTTAGATGTGATAAATATATCAGTTTAGAAGTTTGTTGAGTATTAAATATGGTGTTTTGTGTTGTTGCCCTCGCAGAGTACATGGATCTCTCCCCATTCCTGAGCTACTTCATGTCAGGTACAGTACGGTCTGACTAGACTGATAGCACTACGAGTTATGTTTGTAGCATTACTAGTAGCATAGAACAATCTAGAGTCATTTAGTAGCTGTGTAGTTATATTAGTATTTGTAAATGTGGCCAGTTCTCACAGCATAAAACTTAAGTCATTTTGAAAGAGTAATTATATTCGAGCTACTATCAAAAGTGGTTTGTGTTTTATCTCCACTCACCACATAGTCAGGAATAAAGCGACTATGAAGTTCTTTTGATTTTAACAATATCGATCCCAGCCGCTGTGAAGATTCCTGTCTTAAGGAGTGTTAATGAATGAAATTGCTTCTTCATTTACAGCTGATTGGAGGGCATGCATTGACTCTTTTAATTACTGGAGAGAAGAAATTGGTTGTGCATGCCTGTCCTTAATTGGGACTCCGTTGTGTTTATCGATTCAGTTTGATGTGCTTTAATTTTGGATGATGTGCACTATATGTATTGGTTAGCGGAGGGCTTCTGTCCAGCTCTCTGTTAATGTGGTGAGTCGAGGTTTTGTGTGTTCATGGGCACGGTCACACTCATCAAAGTAGGAGGTGTGATGCTGTGAAAGAAATTTCGCAGCAGGTAAAGAAGAGCTGCAGGATAAAATAGGCCCCTTAGCCCTGCACCACACATAACCTGACGTCTGAGCTGACGTCCACTGATTTGAGCTGTTAAACCTCAGGCTCCTGCTGCCCCCCTTTGCTTTGTGAGTCTCTGCCTTAATATAGTTTGAATGTTCAATTCAGTTCTATTCAATTAATTTGTATAGCGTTTTTCACAGTACATAATGTATTGTTCCAAAGCAGCTTTATAAAGAATATTTACCTCCAGAGAAAACATAGTGACAAGGAAAACTCATATTTATCTGAAGTGTGTGTGTGTGTGTGTTTATACTGTAGCGAGAGACAGAGAGATGCAAAGGTTGTGTACATAACATTTGTTTTGTACATGCCATTGGACTTGTGTAAAAGACTGGGCTGACAGTTTTAATTATTTGGTAAATGAATTAGTGATAATTATTTTGTGATATATTGTAATAATACAACTCTGCATTTAGGCTTTATTGAATGCATGCATTTCAGACTTTCTATTATTTATTCATATACTTTTGAAAGTATAAATAAATTGTTAAGAGTAAAAAGTACTCACAGCTCCTCCTTTGTGTCTAGAAAAAGCAGCAGATCAATGACTGACATTAGGCGCATTTCCATTACAGATTTGCGCAAAACTTTGGCGATATTTTATAAATGTCGATACAAAAGTTTTGCGAAATGACGGCGTTTCCATTAACCAATGTTATGAGACTTAAACGTAACCTTTTGCCTCTCGCGATAAGTCATGGCAACGGATTTTGGTGGGATTTTGGCTATATTTGATACCACTGAAATTTCACAATTTGTGATACCACAGCAAAAACTAATATGATAATACTAATATAATACTAATACTTGAACAAACTGACCCAAAAACAAAGTGTGAGGCCTTCAAGTATTTCTCAGTTAAGTAACTCATTACTCATGCAATAAAGTAAACAGTCAGAAGTAAATTAAAAGCAATGAGTTGTTTTCTCTTTTTCTTGTCAATGTTGTTGTTTGATCAATATTAATGCTGTAATACTGGTCTGGTATCATAATTTGTGTTTTGTTTTAGTATCGAGTCGCTAATAAAGTATTGTACAGTCATGCTATACTGTGTTTTATGTCCTGCCAAGTGATGGTTTTTAGAAAGGATGTGTGCACTTTGTAAAACTAGTTCATTAGTTTAGCTGGTTAACTTCCTTGTTTAGTATAGCTGCAGTGTGTAGTGTGTGTAAATGGCTTGATTTCTTCACAGGATGAATCACAGCAGCATCAGTGAATTCTCTCAGGCCATTCCCTCCATATGCATCAACGCTGACTGACTGACTGTGCTTTGTTTTTACCACTTTAGGGAACTTTACTCTAGCTGAGCTGGGCATTTGTGAACCAGCCCCGCATCAGAACGCATACTGCCCAGACATCGGCCTCTTACAGCGCGGCTACTCTCTGAGCGCCGGCTCAGACGCAGACTCCGACCCAGAGGGCCCGATTTCACCTGAGCGAGCCATCCAGCTGTGGGCCGGCCACGACATCAAGTCCCGCCGCAGCTCTGGCCTCTCCAGCCGGGAGAACTCAGCTCTCACCCTCACTGACTCCGAGAACGAGAACAAGTCTGATGACGAATCAGGTGAGAGATAGTGTCAGAGAGCGAGAGCATGTGAGAATTAGCAGAGCAGAGAGCGAGTGTCGTGTTTATGAGAAACCGAGGGTGCAAGAGAAATCTTTAAGGCGTTTATAGAGTGTAAGGTGTGTGAGAACAGATGCCAAAAATGTGCAACATGTGATGAAACATTCACTTATATTTGTTCGACTCGTTTAGAGCTGAATGAATTTCATTTTGTGTTGCTCTTACCTGGGTGTCACTGTGCATCACTAATCATTTCCCAAACCACATCTGCTTTTGTTTGTCGAACTGCAGTGCTTTAAAGATAATCTGCCATTGAAGATGTGTATTAACAGACTGGATGCAGCATGACATGTCACACTCAGTTAATATAAAAAGACCATACACCGAAAGAAGTCTCAAAGGACGTATGTTCATCAAGTGAAAACATTATGGCTTTTCTCCCCCCACACATCTGCCTGCATGGATATTATTGTTGAAGACCGAATCCCTCTTGGTTCCTTTGCTGGCAGGAATTCGGCAACACGTTCCTCGATTCCTCACTCCTAGTTAATTTGGTGGCATCTTAAATCTTAGCATAGTTTGTAGAAAGTGTCAGAGTAGGTTAATGAAAAGTCAAAAACTCCTCCTAATTAATTGAGTTCTCACCGTATCAGACCTCAAACAGATCTGTCAGCCGTGAATTGTAGCATCGCACAAACTCGCTCTGACAATTTATCAAACTACTCTACAGCTATTAAACACACAAAGAAACACCTTGGAAAGCAGTCGTCTTCATCTCGTCGGCTGATAATTGCTTCACAGATAATTGCCACGCTAATCTCTAGGCCGCTGTTTCTTAGCGCCGTCTTCGGTTTTTACGGCACAGGAAACGTGTGGGCACAGCAAGTGCCAGTCACACAGCAAGTGCTAGTCACCAGATCGCATGTCTGTGTGCTTCGACAGCAGTGGACGCAAGCTGGACACCGTCTCTCAGTGCGGCACCGTGGCTCATTCCCACTGAAATCCCAATTAAACGACGCCCAGGCTGTGCCTGATAATCTGTGCAGGATGTGTGAGTCACAGAGGAACAATCTATAGTAAATTAAAACACTTTTTAAAAGCTTAATAAAGTTTTGCCTTGCACCAACAGCTATAATACTGAGATTCAATACATTCAAGTCAATCGATACATATGAGTTACTTTGCTTTTTTAGGCGTTTACGGCACGGGAAACGCGTGGGCACAGCAAGTGCCAGTCACACAGCAAGTGCTAGTCACCAGATCGCATGTCTGTGTGCTCCGACAGCAGTGGACGCAAGCTGGACACCGTCTCTCAGTGCGGCACCATGGCTCATTCCCACTGAAATCCCAATTAAACGACGCCCAGGCTGTGCCTGATAATCTGTGCAGGATGTGTGAGTCACAGAGGAACAATCTATAGTAAATTAAAACACTTTTTAAAAGCTTAATAAAGTTTTGCCTTGCACCAACAGCTATAATACTGAGATTCAATACATTCAAGTCAATCGATACATATGAGTTACTTTGCTTTTTTTAGGCGACCAAGCACATTAAATAAAAATAAATAAATAAATAAATTCCAGAATTGGGAATAGCATACTTAAATTATGTTTTTATATATTAAGTATGCAATTCCGGATACCATGCTACTTGTATTATTTCAGCCATATAAAGATAAGATTTCAGTATGCTGTTCTGAATAGCATACTAGTATACTACCCTTACTCTTTGTACAATATAAATATTTGAATATATGAATTCAGTATGCAGTGACATACTAGCATACTACTATTACTCTTTCTGCCATAAAAAGATAAAGATCTGAATTCAATATGATATTCCGAATAATATGCTTACTTTTATGAAGATTAGTTCAGTATCCTATTCAAATTGCGCAATGCCTTTATTGTTTTTTGCCATATAAAGATAAGGATTCAGTATGCTGTTCTAAATAGCATACTTGCATAGTACTGTTTCTGCCATATAAAGATATGAACATATGATTTTAGTATACTACTCTTACTGTTTCTGCCTAATAAAGAAAATAATTCAGTGTGCTATTTCTAATAACATACCTTCAAGTTTCTATCAGACTACTCTGAATAGCATACTTCTGTAAGAGTTATTACAATATAAATATTTGAAGAAATGAATCCAGTATGAAATTGGCATACTAGCGTACTATTAAAGTTTCTGCCATATCTCCATATATGAATTCAGTATGATATTCTTAATAGCATACTAGCATAATACTCTCACTGTTTCTGCCATATGAAAGTTAGAAAATATGAATTCTGGATACTATTCTGAATAGCATACTAGCATGCTACCATAATGGTTTAAATGTTTTAGAAATAGCTGCATTTTTTTATTTAAATATTATATAAAGTGTATAAATATTTGAAGAAATTAATTCAGCAGGCAATTAGCATACTAGCATCCTACTTTTTACTGTTTCTGCCATATAAAAATATGGAGATATCAATTAAGAGTCCTCTTCCGAATAACATACTAGCATACTACTCTTACTTTTTCTGCCATATAAAGGGTAGAAAATATGAATTTGGTGTGCTATTCTTGTAATTCGGTATGAATTTGGCATACTAGCATACCACTCTTACTATTTCTGCCGTATAAATACATAGTAAGAGTATTATGCTATTATGAATTCAGCCCATCTTAACCGTTTCATTGAGCGGATGTTTCATGCATCTTATTCATGGCAGAGGCTAACATATGCCTAAAATCAGGCTGCTAAGAGCCAATCAAAATTGTGATTGGACAATCATCATAAACATCTGCATATAAGTACAGTGTTTCTACAAGGATGATTTTACCCAGTTTTCTGAAAATTGGCCTTATGCATCCATTAGATCTATTATGCTCTCCATGTTCTCGGATTGTTGCTTGTGGCTATATATATTTATCTTTTTTTTTTTTCTGTGATGATGCTAATATGAAAAACTAGATAGGGCGTGATTGATACTTCTGTGAGTCTTTGCTTGAGAAAATCAAGCTTTCTTGCAGCTGAACTGAATTAGAAGTGGGATATTGCTTTCAGTGGATGTGTTCTCACAAGGAAGAAAGCGTATGTTCAAAATAGAAGCAAGTAAATCTGTCATTTCTGTCTTTCTACTTCTAACACGCTTTGAAGCCTCACCCCTATCTTTGCCCCTTATCTTTTTTCTTTCACATTTTTTGTGTATGCTGATGCACTTCAATATACTTCTCTCTCTCATCTTCCTCGTTTGCCTTGTTATATGGATGTGTCAGCAGCACCAATCACTTTGAAAGACAGGTGTCACTCACAAAGGGAGAGTGAATGGGGTCAGAAGAAAATTTTCATCCATTATCACCCTCTGTCTGCCTCTTTCCAAATACTTTCCTAGACATAAAGGCAGCTTTCAAAGTCTACCACCCACTTTGACTAAAAACATCCATTTGTGCTTTTGAGATGTTAGGTCTAGACATGGGCATACTAGTCAATATCTGATTGGGCAGAGTCAGAAGTTGTTGAGATAAAAATAGCAGTCGCTCGTCAAGGTTCTTCAGACAAGCAGCTTTTAGTGAAGACTGGGCAGCACTGAGCTTTATTTATTTGTTTAGTGTTATTGATGTCTGTTAAAATGAATACAAGTTATTACAATATGACGCATAATGTTTATAGTGAAGGAATATACAAAGCCTCTTTTTCAATTTAAATTAAAACCAGTTTTAACTTATTCAGTATATGATTTTGCAAGACATGTAGGAGGTTGTAACATACACACCGTCAAATAAATAATGCAGCATTTTATTCACTCTTCATCAAGTTTGAGAATTGTGCCACATAGAAGTAAAAAATAAATATAAAAAATACCACTGATCATCCTTGCTGAATAAAATTATACATTTCTTTAAATATATATATAATTAGCAATATTTGACATTTAATTAAGTTTAATAACAGCCATATTTTATTAGATATCGCATATCACAAACAGCTAGTATGGGCTTTTGTGGTGATATGTCAGAATAGATCTTCTATAGTGATCTTATTCATCATTACATCAAAGTTACCCTTTTATTTTCTGCAGGGGCTGCAGTGTGGAAATTAAAAATTGCCATTTGAGACAGTGTGCTATAGCCTTGTTCAGACTGTCAGTCCAAATCTGTTTAGAATCTGACCGCATGTGTGGAAAAAAAATAAATCACACAAAATATGATTTTTACAAATCCATTTTAAGCTACATTCATATGGGGTTTGAAATCATATTCAAATCACATTTCTGGAAATATGTTTCAATCTGTCATTTTGCGTAGGATTTTTCCTGTCACTTTCTCACGCCAAATAAAACCTAAACATGTCAGACACTGTTGTAGGAAACATGCTGAAATTTATTGTAGAAATAACGCTGTGTTGTTGTGATGTGCAGGTTGAGCAGAAAATAACAACATACTGCTAGTCGGCCTGTTCTACATACCCCTTTGAATTTTGAGACCAGTGTAGAGAATAAGCCTGCATGTACCAACCTCCTACGTTTCTGCTGCTGCTAAACAGAGTAGTCCAGTGCCGCAGCTACACATTGTCATGTTGTATGACAACATCTGTATTGCAAACCCTTCCATGTTGCTGTTTTTTTTGTTTTTTTTGTTTTTGTAGACAAACCAATTCAATATCATTCCATAGAAACCAATGCAGATATTCTGGAAAAAGAGCGCCACAGGATACACAAATGGGATCTGAACAGTTGTCATACGCAGTATTGACATTCAGTCATTTAGAATAGATTCCGAACAGATACACAAATAATCAACAACTAATAAACAAGCTAGTCATGTATGACAGTTATTTGAAACTTTGACTGTTCTAATTTGAGAATGATTAGTTGACTGCTAGACTGTCAGCCTAGTTCCTTATACATAGTCTTAACATAACATGGCTTATGCAGTCAGCCCAAGTCTTGATAAAACAGTCAATCGTAATTAGAGGTCGACCGATAGTGGATTTTACCGATACC